GTAATACGTTTAGTAACACGAGTAATACGGTTAGTATAGAGCCTGGAATACGTCTTCAGCCATATAAAATAACGCATTTAAGATAATAGGTAAGTTGGATTTAGTATCAGCGTTCTCAGGATAAACGATTATAGATGTACAGGTGATACGTTTAGTACCGTCGGATAATATTGGTTTCAGCTGGTTAGTAAATAACGTTTCCGATGATAGGTAACACGTTTTCAGTAACAGGTGAATACGGTTTATTAGTATAGGGTATACGTTTAGTACAGGTAATTACGTTTAGTAATAGGTAATACGTTATACCCTTTTAGATAACAGGGTAAGTACCCGCTTCTGTACAGAGTATTACGACGTTTAGTACAGGTAATACGTTTAGTACAGGTAATACGTTTAGTACACGTAATACGTTTAGTATAGGTAATACGTTTAGTACATGCAATGATGCAGGTAATACGTTTAGTATAGGTAATACGTTTAGTATAGGTAATACGTTTAGTACAGGTAATACGTTTAGTATAGGTAATACGTTTAGTATAGGTAATACGTTTAGTACAGGTAATATTTTCCATAATACTAGTATGATTAGCTCTTGCTAGTTTGTAGTTGGTTTATTCTTTTTGCCGGGCTGAATTGTAACGATGATGGCATCTTTTATCTATCGTACAGGGTGCGCCCTCAGCTTCCGAGAGAGAAGATTGACATGTGTCGCATCTGCACGTCGGTGACACCGGGGGAGCCACACATCATGCTGGGTAGTGACAAAGCTTTCACTTACGACAACGTCTTCGACCTGAATGCGAAGCAAGAGAGCATATACAGCGAGTGCGTGAGCACGCTCATTGAGGGCTGCTTCGACGGGTATAATGCTACCGTGCTCGCATACGGACAGGTACGTACGTGTGTTCTTGTTTGCACGCGCGTGCGTGCGTGTAAAGGTCCATAGAGATGTAATTTTCTCTCTGCAGCTGCTGGGCAGGTAGCCATATTAGGTGTGTGTGTGTGTGTGTATATGAGAATTATGTGCGTCATTGGCAATGATGAGTGCGAGAAATTTACGGTGTGTGAATGAATGAAAAATGACAAGAATAAATGAGCTCATCACATATCACGTGCACTATATAATGCAATTGGTTAAAATTATTTCTACAAAATTGCAAATTGATGGCAAACGTTACCATAAACTGTATGTCCTTGTCTGTTAACAAAAACTATTAAAAACTTATTAACCCACATGTTAGTAGGGTATAGAATCAATAGCCATGTATATCTGTGTATATCTGTGTAGCAGGGTAGAGTCGATAGCTGTTGTGTGCCAGGACTGCGAGTTACGCGCCTTAAACTAAACCACTATGCAGTAAATTATCAGAGTTAAGTATATCTCAAGAATCCTATTATTCGGTACCACATGAATCTATTGTTTAATTGCCAGAACAAGAAATAGCCAGTAACTGCATGGTAATTGTTGAAACTTCATATTACACCTGATTCAAACACGTTAACCGGTTGGTTTGTGATATTCAACTAGAAAATTGCGTGACCAAAAGAAAAGTGTGACTTGCATGGTCAAAGAGAGGTCACATGTAAGGATCGAGCTTCCTATGCAACGTGCAGACTATCCAGCGTAAACATACGGGTTTCCATAATGTACCCGTGCATGTTTCCGCAATGTGTACATCCTGGTCAAGAGAGATGTTTCCCGGGCAACATACTTTTCAGTGCAGAATAATTATACATCAGTCATCATGAGTCCAGGAAATAATCGTTTACTCTGGTTATTTTATGGCGCAAAGAAGTGTCCTTCAACAATCGGTTATTATTTTTCTTACTTCGGTCTATCTACTAAAAACTGAAAAAATGGTATCCAATCCACGGTGATGCTGCTGGTGATGGCGGTGGCAGCCACTGGTTTGCGTCTTCCAGGATAAACCCTCCCTATCCCTTGCTATAATTACTACCTTTCTTATT